AAACCCCAAACCCAAAGATATCCTTGAGTGCTTTTATGCACTATCACGGGCTGCGATCACCTGCTTACAGTTTTAGCTGCAACCTCCTTTTGGGATCAGCCAAAGATCCCTGAACCCTCTCATAACCCTTGGAGAATCTACTCCGGAAGCCCTTGCAAAACCATCATACACCTGTTTAACCCCTACAAAACCATGTGAAAAAAGAGCTTGCATCACCTCTATAGACTCTATAGCAGTCTCATAAAACTCATGGTGCCCTCTTACAAGACCCCGTGAAAGTAACCCTTACACAGCACCCTGGTGCCTTGGCTGGCCCCAGCCACTCTTTGTCCAGGAGCTCCATGTTGGACCAAGTCCCATCAGGCCTTTGCGCATCAAGGATCGTTTGAGTAGGGCATCAGAAAGGCTTCTCTGTAGGGCCTCTAACGACTTTATAAGCCTGCACCAGGGGCTTTGTAAACTCTCCTCTGGGATTTGTCATACGTCGGCTTTGTGGTTTAGGACGTTGGGGCCTAGGGTTTGGAGGTTTGGGGTTGCTCTCAGAGCTTGAATTACCTGTCCAGTGACCTAGGGTATTAAAGTTCACCTGTGAGCCACAATTTTGATGGGTCTTGCCTGCCCCAACAAGCCTAGACGCTACTCACGAGCACCAAGTCTCAATGTTTAGGATTTGGGTTTGGGGGTTTTGCGCCTGAGGGGGTGAGGCTTCAAAAAGCTCCAGCGTTTCGGGTTTGGGTGTAAGAGCTTCGGGTTTGGGTTTAAGTGTAGCCTCGGGTTTCTGCTAAACCCTGGACCCCTAAACCCTTCTTGGAGCCAGGCTCCCGATAGCAAACGCCACCTTCGGCGATGATCCAGCAGGGAATGTTCCCAATCGCCTGTGTTGGGGGTTCCGGGCGTGGGGCTTAAGGGGTTTAGGGCTTTGCACCTTAAGCGCTTAGGGCTTCAGCGTTTTCGGGCTTTAGGGCTTTAGGGTTTAGGGACTTTAAAGACTTTAGGCTTATTCTTTAGGGCACTTTTGCTGTAGACAGGGCAACCAATGCCAGAAGAAGGATGTTTTCGGGTCGCCCAACGAAGGAGGCTGCGCAAAGCACGCCGAGAACGACGGTAATCCGTGGGCCCCGTTCTGCTCTTGAGGAAGCACAAAGCCAATCATCACCCTGGTTACCCTCTCCTAGTCATCGCGGCACCTGCCTGACATGAATATACCCCGAACCCAGTTGTGGTGTCATCCCTCAGGGACCAATAGCCTAGGAGCTTGTTGACAGCCCGTCTTACACATGTTTGCCAGACTGCTTTGCCAACTCATGCAGCAAGCCTTCTGGAAGTAATTGCCACGGGGCATTCTATCGCGTCTTGCTTCTGCACGTGCTCGCGCTAGATTCACGAGTGCTACTGCTACTACTATGGCAGTTACTAGGGTCAACCCTCAGGCTTCGGCTTTGGGGTTCATGGGTAGTTATAAGTGGGGTTAGGGTAACTATGATTATGACCCATGTCAGGGCACGTTGCACTCCACTTATAACTACCCATGAACCTCCAAGTAGGGCTTACACCCTAAACCCTCACAAACTCTGGGTCGTGTTTGTGAGGCTTGCGAATTGCGAACGCCACAACTCAAATCCCAAAATAATGCCAGGGGCCTTAATAATTACATGACACGATAGCTACTATAGTTACTATAGTTCTAAACAGGAACCCCGAAATGGTCCGTGTACTTGGGGCCCGATAAGACACACACACCCTCCCCGCAGCCTTGACACCGGAAGCCCAAATTTGCCGGCCCGGCACTGGAGATCCTGCTAAGCCTAAACCCAAAACTACCCGTAAACCCCTTCTAGTACCCTTATAGATCCCTTGCAACAACCCTTATGGGAGCCCCCCCTTTTTAAAGGAACCCTGAAAACCCCCTAAACCCCCTGTTAAAGGAACCCTAAAAACCCCTAAACCCCTCTTAAAGGAACCCTAAAAACCCCTAAACCCCCTTTAAAGGAACCCTAAAAACCCCTAAACCCCCTGCCCCCCCACAAAAAAAAAGAAGAAACAGAGCAAGCTTCCCAGATGCGCCTGGGAGAGGAGATCCTGCTCCAAGCTGCTCATGACGATGACCTGGGCTCTTCTTAAGGGATTTCAATTACCATAAGAATGAAAATGAGAACAATAGTATAAAAATAGTAATAAAAATAGTAATAGCAAGAATAATGGTAATAATAATAATAATAATAAGGAACCATACTATTTAAGATAGACCCGCATTATGGTAACTGAAAAGAACTTCCTTCTAAAAGAGCCCAGTGACGTGCGTGTTCGGCTCTTCGGCCAGGACCTCCAAACAGGGCGGTTTTGGCTTTCGGGTTTACTTAAAGGATCATGGGACTTAGTAAGTAGGTTATAATTGGGGATATAAGTCCCCTAAGTGGGGTTACCATAATTATGGGTTTAAAGGGAACTCCAGAAAGTTGGAGTGGAGTATGGATTAATGGTAGGATACCCTATAATTTACCATGAAGGGGTTAGGATAATCGTATTCCAACTTTCTGGCTTTTGGGTTTAGGGCTTTTACTATAACCCAATAAAATATTAGTTTTAGTATTCTCTTGGGTTTTATGTGAACGAAAAATACATCCTACGGGGACTGTAGTTTAGGGGTTCCTATAAGGATTATTCTAGAGGATCCATAAGAGTATTAAAAGTGTACTATAAGGGGTCTAGGGTTTACGGTTTAAGGTTTAAGATTCGCGGTTCAGAGATTAGGGTGTAGGGTTGAGGGTTCAAGGTTTAGGGAAAGGCTTTGGGTGTATAACTCGAGCTATCGCAAACGGCCGAAGGCCGCTAACTTCGGCTGTGTTGGGTCAAGCTTCGGGCGCAGAACTCGAATAACCACGGGGCGTGTAGCCTTTAATCTAACCATGAGATCCTTCACCAAACCCCACAGTCTCAAGCCCCAAGCCCTCAGATCCTTGATGCAGACCCTTGTCTCCTACAGGGACTCAAAATAAGCCAAAGTAAGCTAAAAAAGGGCACCCTTTTCATATTAGTTGGTCTTGACACGGGAGGCCTAAAACACAAGGGCAAAAGGGTACTACTGGGGAACCGAGTACGGCTCTGAGGTCTCTTGCCTCTTGGGGCTTCACTCTGGTGGGCCTCGGGTTTAAGAGTCCTGAGGCTCAGAGGTTGGAGTTTAGAGTTCCGGACCCTAAACCCCAAACCCTGAACCCCTAAACCCCTGAACCCTAAACCCCAAACCCTAGATATGCCCTTACGCTTTAGGTTTCAGGGCTTAGGGTTTTGGAGTTGTAGACCGTCGCCCTAGATTATCGGGTTCTTTGCCACGAGGACTTAGGGTTTAGGGTTTAGGGAGATGCCTCCCCAGTCTATCCAAAGAGCTCGGGTCGTGACCTTGGGTTGCTAGAACATGCAGCTAGTAGTAGTCATCGCTCCTAGTGGAGATCACGAATATTGTGATTGCCGTGGTTTACATGCTCTTTGAACTAATATTGCTGGTATTATTCTTACTATGGCTCCTATGTCCGTTGGAGGTTCCGACGCTGGTGGAGTCAACTTTTGCATGGGCTCCGGTCTCGAAGAGCCCTCGTTGGGCTGCCGCGGCGGCAGATAAGAGCATGGTCCGGGTACCGGCGAAGGTGTGCACCAGACCCAAAACCCCTAAACCCTAAAGCCTGAACCCTAAACTCAAAACCCTAAACCCTGAACCCTAAACCCTAAACTCAAAAATACCCTAAACCCTAAACTCTAAACCCTAAAAACCCTCAAAGACAGGGATTTGAGAGCACATCTCCCGGCGAGCCATGGATCCCTGCGCTTTGGCAAGATCTCGGGCTCTGCTCCTGAGGGGCCTCTTTGGATCCTAGGCAAAGCGGTACTTAAAAGGATCATGGGACTTAATAACTAGGGTTATAATTAGGGTAACTATACTTATAACCGCTTGTAACCCCAATTAAGTTACTTATACGCTTACTTACTAAGTCCCATGAACCTCCAAGTACTCCTATGCTTATGAAGCGATGAGTCGATGCCGCAAGTCCTGAAAGGCAGCATCCTTCTACCAGCTGTAACCAACAACTCTCTTGTTCAAATACCGGGCCCAAACAAAGTTCAGACTTTCTAAGGTAAACCGGAATACATTACCCAAAAAGTTTAAAGTTCTCCCATTGGCTAAGAGAGACAACGGCGACGAGAATTCAAGCAAAACCTTCGGCCGGCGTGCCAACCGTCAAGGCATCTCCTAAAGAGGCGAGGACAGAAGCTGGGAGAGTGCCGAAACATGGGGGGTTTCCGAAAGTTAGGGGTACCAATTTTTTGGGGGTCCTTAGAATAAGGATCCTACTATTTAGGATACTATATTAAGGTCCCCCATTTTCGGAAACTCCCACATTGCAATGCAAGCACTGCGGGAAACCACAGTGGCTGTCTCTGCCACTGCTGAGAGGGCTAGCGCAACGGCCTGCAAGCTTCTATCAGAACTAATCTATCCAGACCTGCATCACTTGCACTTCTGCATCTCTAGCGCCGTTCTTTTCGTCAACCCTTTTATGCCTTTTGATTTTACCTGAGCCCCAAGCTCTAAACCCTAAAAGCCTTACTGAACCAGGAGGCCGCGAAAATCTGCTCATAATGATGTTCGCAGCGGGCTCCCCGGTCAAGACTTACCTGGCAAGAGTGCTGAATTGATGTCTTCAGGCTTTCGGGTGTCGGGCTTGGGGTTTGCGGACTTTGCAAAATTGGGCGTAGCGCCGACTACAGTAAGAGCACAGATGCTCACATGCAAAACTCGCCTCAAAACTGCGACAATGGAAAAGCCAGTGCACCACCGCGGTCACCGCATAGCACGAAAACCTAAGTGAAGACCAAAGCCAGAAAGTCCAAATCTTGCATAAGCCGCAAAGACACCCTAAACCCCCAAACCCAACACCCTACATCTCCTCTTTGCATCCCTCTCTCAATCCCAACAACGCAAGTCTCCCAGCTCGACCTCTGAATGGTCAGGATGCGCCGTTCTCGCTTTCCACCTGGAAGCTGATTGGTTGGAGGGGTTTTTGGCTTTGAGGGTTTGAGGGTCTAGGAGCCTTATTAAGGGAACCCTTTAAGGAACCCTCATTACTAAAAGGGCTGCGACTGAGGGTCTACTTAAAGGATCATGGGACTTAGTAAGTGGGTTAATATTGGGGGTATAAGTCCCCTAAGTGGGGTTACCATAATTATAACCTACCTATAACCTTACTTACTAAGTCCCATGAGCCTTCAAGTAGAGTTTAGAGGGTTTAGGGTCTAGGGTTTGAGGGTTTTGGGGTTCGAGGGTATAGGGTTTGAGAGTTTAGGCTCTGAGTGTTTCGGCTTTGGAGGGTTTAGGCATTGAGGGTGTGGAGTATGAGCGTCTGGGGTTTAGGATTTTGGGGTTTGGGGGTTTCTAAGTTTCAGGGATGAGCTCCAAAGTCTTGTGCTGAAAGGTTCGAGTGCTCCCCTCAATTCATGGGTGCCTTCTCATTCATAGAAGCCACGGCTTAGAGTTTAGGGTTTGGGGTTTGGTGCACCGAACTCCTAGTTTTCAAACTCCCTCTGAGCAAGGCCCAAATTCACAACCCTAATCGTAAACCCCTAATGAACCCTTAATATAGCTATTAAAAACCCATGATATAGCCCATTGTAGGGCAGGGGTCCCCATTAAGGGTTCCTCCTTTTCCCCTTTGAAACCCTGATGAAAACAAGCCGTAAGCCCCTAATGAAAAACCCTGGCCCTCAAACCCTATCAAACCCCTGTAACCCCTGCAAAACCCTAAACCGTGAACTCTCAACCCTAAACCCTAAAACCCTAAAACCCTGAAACCCTGAACCCTAAGCCCGAAACCCTGAAACCCCCAACCCTAAGAACCCTACACCCTCAAGCTTAAAACCTTAGGGTTCCTTTAAAGGGGGGACTAGAAGGGTAGTATAAGGGTTCCTTAAAGCCCTCAACCCCCAACCCCGAACTTCCCCGCCTCTGCTAAAGTGCAGATGGCTCTCGCCCATCCTTGGACGATGGCTGCATGACGTTGGCAGGTCGTGATACAATGTGCCATGCTTTTTGTTGAGTAATTTTGCTATACTATACACGGACTATACCATACTAGAGTACAGTATAGACTAGTATGTATGACGTGCTATCGTATCGCATCGGAAAGAGCAATAGAGTAGGGTATAGTAGATTATAGCACAGAACAGTACAGTATAGCACGGCACAGAGGGGTATAGTATAGTACAATACAGCATAGTATAGCACGCATAACATAGCATAGAGCACAATATTTTATAGTATAGCGCAAAGTATAGAATAGTACAGTACAGTACTACAGCACAGTAGGGCATAGTAGAATACAGTACAATATGGTACAATATACTACAGTACAATACAGTATGATTTAGCACAGTACAACAAAGTATAGTACACTACAGTATAGTACACTATAGTGAAGTATAGCAAAGTGTAGTATAGTGTAATATAGTATAGCATAGTATAGTATAGTCTTCTACGCAAACGGCGAAGCTGCAAGGATTTGCTGCAAAGCGCAAAATCTTTGAGCCCAAGCCCTAAACCCAAAAAAAACAAAGCTCCATCCCAAACCCTGGACCCTGAACCCTAAGGCCTAAACCCTAAACCCTAGCCGAGGGCTCTCAGGGCTTTGAAACCTCGATTGCGCCTGCAGACTTCCTTGGTTTAAAGGTTCCTGTAAGGGATCTTTTAATGGTTCCTCTTTAAGGATCCCTTTAGGGTTCCTGTAAGGGTTCCTTTGAGAGTACCATACGGGTTATGATAATAACGGTGACTGGAGAGATCACTTCAAGGATTTAGGGGTTTAGGGCTTGGGGCCTCGTTACGGGGCTTAGACTTGCGTCTCAGTCATCGCAGTTTGTGGCTGCCTCTTGAGGAAACAACGCCGCTTTCGATCGAGCCCTAGCTGAAGGAAGCTGCCATATAATTAGGGGCCTGAATCATTAAAATAGGGTCTTGGAGTAGTTTATGCTATCGGTAAAATAAACAACCCCGAGGAACAGTGCTGGTAATTCTTCCGGCTTCTATACTACAAGTAGGGCACGTGGAAGCTGCGTTCACGAAACGACTGCCAAGGCCGGCACGATAGTACTTCCACTCGCCCAGATCCTGACAAAATGGGGCCCAAGGATTCGACGTAGCCTACGCGATGCACCAGTGTCGCAAGAGGAAGCGGTGGCTGCGGTGGTGGTGGTGGTGGTGGTGGTGGTGGTGGTGGTGGTGGTGGTGGTGGTGGTGGTGGTGGTGGTGGTGGTGGTGGTGGTGGTGGTGGTGGTGGTGGTGGAGACGATGGCTCTTGTCATCATTGAAAATAGCTCAGCTTCTACTATTCGCACTCCCTGTCGGAGTCGGAAGAGGAGGACGCATCGAGAATCAGAACAACAAGAAGAAGTAAGGGTCAGGAAACGCAGATTCGTCCTTCCACCCTCCTCCTCCGCCTCCTCCTGGTCCCCGTGCTCCTCCTAATGCCTCTACTTCTGATATCTTCTGATATTCATGCAATATCCCATGGCAAATGTAGCACGTAACATACTTCAAAGGCCACGAGGCCCGCGGCGAACAGTGACTAGCTCATCCCTTGATCTGGCTACGATAGGGGCCTTAATAATGTGAATAGAATTTTGGGGCCCACTGTACTACGCGGGGCGCCCCTGATTTTTAAGTCAGAACCCTTACAGATCCTTGAACTCCGAGGGTGGAGCTTTGGACTGATGGAGCACCCCTGATTCTTAAATCAAAGCTTTGACAGATGTTGAACTCCGAGGATGAGGACTTGGACTGATGGAGCGCCCATCTTAGTGAGCTTGAACTCCGGGGGTGGGGCCTTGGACGCCCCTGGTTTTTTAATCAGAACTCTTACAAATCTTGAACTCCGAGGGTCGGGCCTTGGGTTGCTGGGACACCCCTGCCTTCTAAACCGCAACCCTTACAGATCTTGAACTCCGAGGGTGGGGCCTTGGGTTGAGGGGGCGCCCCTGATATCAGGTTCACCGGGTTTACCGGGTTTATCGGGTTTACCGGGTTTAGCGGGTTTATCGGGTTTATCGGGTTTATCGGGTTTATCGGGTTTATCGGGTTTATCGGGTTTATCGGGTTTACCGGGTTTACCGGGTTTATCGGGTTTATCGGGTTTATCGGGTTTATCGGGTTTATCGGGTTTAACGGGTTTATCGGGTTTAGCGGTGCGCGTCCGCTGTTTGCGCGCGCAATGCTACTTTTATAATTATATTCAGGAATCCCCAAAATAAAGGTAAAGCCCCTATAGTTGGCTCGCAGATCGCGTTCCTGAGCCCTGGACCCTAGACCGCAAACAACCCGGAACCCTACAACCAATAAACCGTTGATAAACCTCTGTAAACCCCTATAAACCCCATAAGCCCCTAGAAACCCTAAACCCCGTCCTTGATGTAATCTCCTATAAACCTATAAGCCCCTAGCAACCTTAAACCCCGTCCCTGATGTAAACCCCTATAAACCCTATAAGCTAGAAACCCTAAACCCCGTCCTTGATGTTATTGATGCCGATGGACTTGAAGACCGGATCCTTCGCAGGCGTCAGACCTGATCGGCACTGGAGCCCAAAAATTATTTCGGGCTCTTTTTTGATTTGTGTGTGTGTGTGTGTGTGTTTTTTTGGGCTCTTTTTCACCTGCAGGTACAGCTAGAACTCCTGTAGGGTCTAGGGTTTAGGGATTAGGGGTTAGGGTTTAGAGAAACTTTTCTGAGCTCCTTGAGGGGACCACAAGGGTAGGTGTCAATATTGGGGTCCCTTTTGGGGTACCTTACATAACAAGTGCCGTATTTTATTAGGGACCCAAAACGGGACCATAATTTTGACAACCACCCATAAGGGGTCTAAGCGCGCACAAGCACACCCCCGATGCGACGATGCGGCCTGCGAAGGCACTCGGAGGAGCATCCAGGAGGAAGGACATGGCCCACCCCTCCCACTCCTGCAAAGGCTGTGGGAAAATAGCACCCTCCGAGACTCGAACCTTAATTTTCGGCAAGGTTCCCTAGCTATCTGTCTGCGATTCAGCAAGATGATCACGAAGCAACACAAGACCTCCTTGAAAGCGATGGGCCAATGCCGATCGGCCGTGCACACGCAAGACAGTCACACATGCGATGCGAGAAACCTGTTGAACCTACCTCCCAAACTCAAGTCCACAATTTCGTGACCCGTATAGCAACCCTTTTGAAATACCACTTATGGGGTTTTCAGATGCTTGATTCCATTTCTGCACTCCTCCCGGCTCTTAGTCCTTGTCAAGAGCCTTGTTAATGTTCATCTTCCGCTGCAGCTTGCTGACCTCCGCTGGGGTTTAGAGTTTAGCGTGTAGGCTCCAAGGCTGAGCGTGTTCGCTTAACTTGCACGTAATGTAGGGGCCTGAATAATTGCCAATACTAGTTAAGGGGTTCCTCATTAGTATAGTATGATATACCCCAAAACACTATTCTTTCTCATCATTCAGGCACCTACAGTACAGAACCCCATTGTCGATCCTTTACAGAACCCCTTAAAGGGGAATGTTGACGTCTTCAGTTGGTACATACATCCGGGGGCATCAGGTTCAGGGGTTCGGGCTTAGGGTTCTGGCGAGATTCCTGCTCTTGGGCTCTGGGTGTACTTGCACTGCTGGCGAGATGAGGCCTGCGGCTTGCGCCCGCTCGTAACCTCGCATCCTCTTTAGAGTTACGGGCTTCCCTTTAGGGGTTGTTTAGGGTTTCGGGACACTGGCCATGTGGAAACCTTAAACCCTAAACTCTAAACCCAAACCAGCAAACAAGAAGCCGAGTGACGTCCCGGTTGCCGTCCTGCTCATTCGGGCCGAGGATTACAATGGCCTCAAATGTCATCCGAAAGTCAGCCATCAAATATAGGGGCCTTGAGAATTAGAGTAAGGTTCCCTTTCAAAGGGTTTATACGGGTACTATAAGGGATTGAGGGATGTAGGGGCCTTAAGACATAGAATAGTAGGTTTTGGGACACATTTTACTATAGTTATAATAAGGAACCCCCAAAAGAGTGTAGTAAGGTATTTATCAAGGCCCCGACAGTAACGTTTAAGCCTTTCGTTTGTAGAAACCCAATACTCTATCCCGAGTTCCATTCTGAAAGTAAACATCCCGCGGTAAGACTTTGGGGTCAGAATCCCCGCAGCACCTCGGCCCAGCGTGCGAACTTCCAGGACGCAAGGTCCTCTTCCGGTATTGAAGGGCCAAGGGCTTCTTTATATGAAGGCCATACTGGCCTAAAAGATTAGAATAGGGTTTGGGGACATACTGTACTATTCTTAGCACAAGAGTCCCCAAAACCCTACAGTAGAAGCCGGAAAGTTGGAATATCATTATCGTAAGCTCTTTAAAGTAAATTATAGGGGATCCTACCATTAAACCATATTCCAACTTTCTGGAGTTCCCTTTATTCTCATTATGAAGGCACCTAGTGTACTTTTCCACTACGGATGTAGAAGCCTGGCCTGGCTCATTGGATTCGGGTTCTAGGGTGGATGATATAAATCCTGCATTACCTTAAGGGCCCTAAACTATGGGAACTATGGTATATTCCTTATTATGGGTAATGCAGGATTTATATCATCAACCGTAGGGTACTGTAAACAAACTGACTGGAACTGAACTCCAAGTAGTGTTGGTTCTATCATTATTATCACCAATACTACTGTTCTCAGTATTTTGTACTATTATGAGTATTGTTATCAGTATTAATCGTATGTTTATTGCATCATTAGTACTAGCATTCTAGTCCTTATTGCTGGTTCTGATTATTGATACCATTAGTATTGTTAGAATTGCTATAACTGCTTCTATTATTGCTCCTGCTATTACTGTTAGTATCATTCTTAGTGGGTTTCAACTGCAACTTCGGGTTCTGTAGGGGCTCAAGAGCCCCCCGGTGCCAAGCTTATAGTACCCTAAAAGTACCCTTAAAGGAACCTGAACACCCAAAAGCCCCAAAGTGTGAACCCTGGCTCCTGAACCCCAAACCCCGCTAACACTGAACCAGGAACTCTTCCAAACTCCCGAGATGCCGAACCAGGCTGGATGTGATGGACAGCTCTGACCCCTGCCAGAAAGGGTGGTTGTCAATATTAGCGTCCCTTTTTGGGTCCTTCTTATATTACGGCACCTAATATTTAGGGTACCCGAAAAGGGACCCTAATTTTGACAACCACCCATATAGGGTGCTGATGCGTATTCTCGTCTACTCATACAGGGACTTCGGTCGCGCGGTCCGACACGGTCTTCGGACCCAGCGTGGCAATCATCGAGGCCTTGTAGGCGTCTCGGGGTGGCTTCATTGAGGATTGAGGGTTTAGGTCTAGGTTAGGGTTTTTTGGCGGAATGCAGGGGCGTCGGGAATTTGAATTGCGTTTGCTCATGAATGTTCATTGGGCTGCTAAGGTTTATCAGTTTCAATTGGGTTTGAAGGTACATCATATATCAGTATACAAGTGTATAGGGACTACAGGGACAAGGACATGTGATTACCACTCATTCAGACCCGGTAATTAGGTCTTGGAATTGGGGGTGCGTTTTCGTGCATCTTTTCCATCGCTCCGTTGCTATGGTTCTAAAAGTTATAAAACAGATTGCTGGTTCAGGATTCAAACGGTTGGAATGGGGAAGATGCGATTGGGAATGGGAGTGCGGGTGGTTTCGGTGAGGATGGGAATAATGATGAGGATGGAGATGGGGATAAACACAACTTGCGGATGATGATCCTGATCATCTTCATTATGCTCATTTTGACATGGGTGATGAATGAATGGCAGGACCCTAGTATGCACGCCACCATTGAAGATCCTCGCCAAAAGGAGCCCGGTATTAGAGAGACTCCGAATTAAAGAAATCCCCGCATGGTTCAAGCTTAGCGCGAAAATACAGGAAGACATGTCTGCACACAGCGGTGCCTGAAAGATTCAAAGAGGTGGAAAGCTAAATGAACAAATAGATACAAACAGGCGGAATGTGAGTGAGGGAGGGAGGGAGTGAGGGAGTGAGTGAGTGAGCGAGCGAGCGAGCGGCACGCAATGCAGGCTGTACTGCCACCATAACGTTTTGAGGCCTTCTTCCGTCCGAGGCCCTGCAGGCACGTCAACGGGGCCTGCAGTGGCTGGGCAGCAATCTCTCCCTCTATACCTATATATATATATATATATATATATATACGTATATATGCATGTATACAAAAGTGTGTACAAATGTGTATATTTATAGATGTATACTGCATACATGCACATTCTGGGATAGTGATAGCAATACGCAGGTTCTGAGCGCACTGTGCACTAAGTATTCAGAGGTCGGCATCGTAGCTTCACCTCCTAAACTCGAAGCTTCCATTTGGGAGTTTCCGAAAATAGGGGACCCCAATATAGTACCCTAAATAGTAGGATCCTTATTATAAGGACCCCAAAATTAGGTACCCCTATTTTTCGGAAACTCCAAACCGTAAACCCTAAACCCCTTATAGAACCTTATAGTACCCTTATCGTAATCCTTTAAAGGAACCCTAAGGTACCCCTAGTTTTCGGAAACTCCCATTTTGCTCTCAGAGATCGGACTTGTCGGCGCCTTTGCGAGAATCTTCAGCGGGGCGTCTTCGTACCTGTGAAGGGAATTCCAGAAAGTTGGAATTTGGTTTCAGGGTAGGATACCCTATAATTTACCATAAAGGGCTTAGGATAATCATATTCCAACTTTCTGGCTTTTACCTTTGGTAGGTTGAGGCTTAGCTGCATAACTAAATGAAGTTTCCTTCTAGGGTTTCTCTAAGGGCTACTAGAACGACCCTAAATGGAGGGATGACTACAGAGGCCAGGTCTTGCAACTAGAATACGGTTTGGGGCATGCTACGGCATTCTCAAAGCAGGAACCGTGACGAATAATGTTGCTAAGTCTTCAGGCTTCCGCATATGGAGGCAAAGCGTACCTTCCAGCGCCTCAACAATGCGGCAGTAACTTCAAAGAGAAGCATCCAGCATTCGGAAGTAGGACATCCCTAAGCAGGCGTTGGTGGGGGAAACCAGCATGCCAACGGGAAGACTTTGAATCTCGAAGCCCTAGCCCCAGCTGAAAGTTGCCAAAACCGCGCCAAGAGCGGGTGTCGCACTCGTTGCAAACAGCGAAGCCAATGTTGAAGCAAGACCTCTGAGTCTTGGAAGGAGCGGCTTCTCGGGTCCTGGAACTACAGCGTCCTGAATATCCAGATTTCTACGGTTGGTGCCCAAAAATCCTGCATGACTTTGAACTGTTGCGCTGACGCAGGGGTTAGATTCAGGGCTTGTGCGAATGCCCTAAATCCTGCATGACCTCATGGAGATGCAACATAACATTGAAATGTGGGTAGCGCGATGTGGAGTATGTAGGATGTTGCGGGTCATGCAGGATTTGGGGCATCAACGGTAGTGGCTCAACAAGGACAACAGTACTAATCGCAGTAGTAGTTGTAGTAGTAGCAGTAGTAGTAGTAGTAGTAGTAGTAGTAGTAGTAGTAGTAGTGGTAGGAGGAGGAGGAGGAGGAGGAGGAGGAGCAACAGCAGCAGCAAAAGCAGAAGCAATAAGAATATTTGAAAATGTCATAGAAACAACTATTTTCAGGGTTGGGGGGGGTACAGTCAAGCATAGATAAACAACGGATAGTACTCCAGACCCGTATATTGCTCAGTTTGCGGATTGACGGCTGAAAATTAGGATGGCGGGTTGAGAATCCACTGCCCAAGCGATGTGCCTGTTCTTGGCTCTACCAGTCCATGCCCTGCTACTACACAAAGTTACAAAAAGAATGTTACTATAAGGAGTACGATCAAGGTTCCTCTGAAGCTTAGTAAGGGCTTTAAGACGGGTTTGGTCTAGCAACCCTGAACCCTATACCCCAAAACCCTATAGTACCCTTATAGCAACCCTTAAAGATCCCCTAAAGGAACCCCTGAACCCCAAGCCCTAAACCCTTAAACACCTTATAGTACCCTTATAGATCCTTTATATAGTACCTTCTACTAACCCTTATAGATCCCTTCAAAGGAACCCCTAACCCCTATAGCACCCATAGAAACCCGTGCAGATCCCCTTAAAAGAACCCTCAACCCTAGATAGTACCCTTAAATATCCCTTAAAAGAAGCCCTAAACCCTATTATGGTATCCTTATAGATCCCTTAAAACGAACCCCTAAACCCTATATAGTACCCTTATAGATCCCTTAGAAGGAGCCCCTAAGCCCCAAACCGGGGCCCCCCTATGAAAAAATAGCGAAGCTAGGCCCCAGCCCGGCCTCTGACAGGACTTTTTCGACTCTTGCACTTCGTCGGGGTTCATCATGTGCCTGGTGGCTTGGGGTTCGGGGTTTAGGATTTAGGGCTTGGGGTTTCGGGGTTTAGGGTTTCGGGGTTGAGGGTTTATGATTTAGCGTTTAGAGTTCAGGGCTTTGGATTTAGAGTTTCGGTTTAGGGTTTAGGGTGTGGCTACAAGACAAAAAACTGGAGACCAACTTTACCGACCAGGGAGCTTCTTTGCATTGTCCATGTGGTAGCCGACCTCAACATTTGTTTGTTGGGTTTCAAAGGGATCTATAGGGGTTCCAGAAGGGGGTCTGTAAGGGTTCTATAAGGGGATCTATACGGGGGTTCAGGGTTTAGGGTTCAGGTTTTCAGGTTGTAGGGCTTTTGGGGCTTTAAGGCTTTACCCCTGTCGTCCACCAAAGCCCTATACTTCAAATCTATGCTCTTAGGATTTTGGGTTTAGGGGGCCTGGGTTTTAGGGCTTCAGGTTTAGGGGGTCTCGGGTTTTAGGGCTCTTGGTTATGATTCTCCCAGATCTAGTTTTCGCTACCTCGCTCTCTGTCTGCCCCCTTCTCTCTCTGTTGTGTCTGCACGTGTCTGCGGGGATGCATCACTTCACTTCCACGCTGCAAAGGATGGTCCGTCTGCGAGCGAAGTCGGGACAGAGCTACTGCTCCGGCAACCGCTGTGGATTTACCACATCCCAGAGAGAACTCCGAAAAGGAGAAGAGTAGTCACAGTTTGTCGTGACGCTCTTTTGAAACTGTGGCCCCCGGTGCGAACACCCCAAAATCTAAAGCAAGGCCAGTGCTCCTACGGCGAGCGGGTGTAAAAGAAGAGGTAGGCATTCTTACTGCACTCTTCGAGATCAGTAGTGTCAGCTCGCTGCGCCGCTTGATTATCATCAGCTATGTAAGAGTCGTTGTTAAGGAGCACAAGGGTCTTGTAGTGGCCACACACCGTTGACTCTCCTAGGTGGTACGCTACTGCACAGAGATCATAGATCACATGTCCAAAGTCTCCGCCCTGAGCATACACCGGTAATCGAATACTGCGATCCAAACCGATACAATAGCGTTGTTTCTGCGAGACTCCGGACTGTGCATCGTAGACGAACCTATTCGCCTGCAGAACAAGATTGGGAGGGCCCGTCAAAGCAGCATGAATGCAGTCCTGCCTATGCCAACGATCAACAAGTTGTTGAACCGTAGTCCCGGCTCTCTCCAGCTGTGCGCTGTCTGCAGGCGGGTGCAAAAGTAGGGGGGCAAAACAGCCCCCATCTCGATGTTCCTCGGAGGAGTCCCCCTCGACCGAGGCCCACGTAAGCCCTATCACATCCGCAAGACTTGGGCACTGCCCCACAAGGTGCTGCAGGAATTCAGCAGCATCATGTTGTGCCGTCGGCCTTTGCCAACCCTTCATGATAGCTCGCCAAAAGGGATTCTTCCAGATATGATACACACCCCTATGATGAAGAGCTCCATTGAGGATGGTTTGAAGGAGGGGAGGAAAGAATCCCGCGAGCCCCCCGTTGTCGTAGGACAACCTGAGCAGCCCTCTCAGCACAGCATTCCCGTAGCAGTAGTTGTGCTCGTTGCCCAAACGCAAGTTCAAGACCTGTTGCCCCAAGTGGACTTTGCCTGCATCGAAGCCAGTCGTTGAGGTAAGGGGCCTCGTTGAAGGCGCTCCGGGCGCACATTCACTCCCGCTGCCAGCCAGATTGCCGACCCGCAGAGATCCCTGAGTAGTCCCCAGGCTTTGTTCGCTGAGGGGGTTCTCATTCCGAAGTCCAGAAGCATCGGCAGCGTTGCCGACTCCACCTCCTTCGTCATCGGCCTCGTCGCGTGGAAGCGGTTCACCACCAGGGGCTCCTTGCACAAGATCACAAGCTCCATGACCATGCCGAGGGCCTTCTTGATCTCGATCTGGGTCCCCTCGGTGTCGATCACGTGCTTCTTGGCCTCGTAGTCCCACTTCATCCGGTTGAGCTTGGTCGCATCGGCCGTGATCCAACCCAAACTGATGGCCGTGGCTTTGGAGGCTTCGGTATTCATCAGCTGCTCGAAACGTGAAGCCACCGCCGTGAGGAGGGCCTGGCACAGTACCACTCGCATCGGCGACTCCAGTTTCTCCGGTGATTTCTCCTTGGTCTCCTTCCAGGCCACACCCGTGTCGTAGAGCGCCTTCGCCAAGTTGCCCTCCATGTCCGTCCGGATGAAGACCATGTAGGAGCTGTCCAGCCTGAGGATCGAGAGCTGATTGTCGTGGCGAAGGAGAAGGGTCGTGAGGAGGTCGACCCGTGATCGGAGGTATTGAAGGTACTGGGTCTCCCGATGATTCGTGGACCATGTCTCCTCCTCGTACCATTCCTCCTGGGCCTGATCTTGTCTCCATGGAGCTTGGCGTTGCTTGCCCTTGCCGTTGCCCTTGGATGAAGGCTGCCTTGAGGTCCGCTGTGGTGGTCGTTGGGAGGGGCCTTTTCCTAGGTCTCCCGAGCCTTTGTTGCTTTGTCGCTGCCACTTCTGTGGTCGGTCCGAGTCCAGCTTGGGCTCGCCATCCTCCTGAAGGTCGTTCCCCATCGAGGCATCGCGCGGTTCCTGAGGGGCCCCTTGGCTCAGGACGGAAGGCAGGCCAACGCTGCCCTTGCGGGCCAGCGACTCCATCATCCGAAGCTCCTCCGTGGCCTCCTTGAGTCGTTGCTGATCCGTCTCCGGGACCATAGCTGCCTCTAGCAGAGGCGGGAGGGTCATGATCAGGGTCGCCAAGTGGCCTACCTCGAGCAAGCCTGGTGAACAAGAAGGCTCCGTGGAAGAGGGCGACACACGATCTGAGATGTGCGTCTCTGCGACTGAAAATTTCGCCACAGAACCTGCAAGGACTGACAATGCCTAGTTTGCTCTGCTGCACGAATTGCACGCACTGGTCAATTTGGGGTTTCAGCTCAGGATGTTTTGCCAGCATGTGGCGCTTGACATATTGCGGGCGGATCGAACGGTGGAAGCACTCAACACAATGATGAAGGCATCTCCGAACTTCTTCATGGGCCGCAAGGTCAAGCCAGCTACCGTGGCCAGCCAGATCAACGATGGTCGAATTTCCAATCAGGGCTTCAGAGAGCGTCGCCAAAGTGTCCCCCGGCTGTGCAGAAGAGTAGATTTGACGTAGGGTGGGGCAGCTCTGAGAATTAATGTGATAATGGAAATTCGGCCAATTCTGAAATTGCTTGTCGCAGTGCTTGCACCAAGGGAGGCCGTTCTTGGCATGTTCCATATGCGAGGTCCGCGCATGTTGCTTAACCTCGTGTTGCCTGTCCTGTTTGGCTTCAGCAGCTAGGTGCTGTAAGTACACGTGGCGTTTCATGGTAGCCTGGGAGCTAAACTGCTGACCACACTCCGGGCAGGCAAACACCTCAGCAACAACCTGGTCTACCGGTATAACCCTAGCTGGCCCTAGTTCAGAGAAGCTCGGCTCAGCCAGTTGAACTTGGCTGAGGAGAACAGCACGCCATTGGAGCTGAGCCTCTGATGGTTGCAGGAGGGGGCCTAGGGTAGGGTCCAGTCGCTGACGGTGCAAGATGGCCTGGTGAAGCCTTTCCAGAGGTCGCACAATTTGCAGCCTCTGTGTGAAATCACGGTTCGTCTCATGTGTCCACATGCTATGTGATTGCGCCACTGTGCGAGCCTGCTGCGTGATCATGCTGCACACATGTGCAGCCTCAGTAGGTGTGAGCCCCGTACAGTCGAGGCCGTGGAGCAGGCATGCTGGGAGGCAAGCATGCCAGAGTCGCAGTCGCAACGCTTGAGGAACAGCCTTGCAGCGAAGGATCGGGCGAAGTCGACTGAACTGGCCTGTGGCCAATGCAACTCTGTGCTTCAGAGTGTCCGGACCCATGCGGCGATAGCCGATGACCGCACCCAGATATACATGTTGTTGCACTATCCTAAGGTCAACGTGCTTACCCTCGATTTGGAACCTCATGTATAGGGTATCCTTGATTTGCACTGTGTATTTGCGAAGGGCTTGATGGGCCTTTGGGCCACGGAGCTCCACCAGGATGACAGTCTTGGCGGTGCTGACCTCAAGACCGTTGGCACGGAGGTGTGCAAGGACTTGACGAATTTTGCGGTAGGCCTCCTCCAGGGCACGGCCCGACTTGATGATCCACTTGAACAAAAAGTCGTCCGCGTAAACTGTGGTGGAGCGGGCTTTCTCTGCGAAATCCATGCCAGGGAGCTGCTTAAGGAGCCAGCCGGACACCAGGGCCCACAACACAGGTGATAGTCCACATCCTTGTCTTAGTCCAGTGTGCAACGGTGCATCCTGCTGACATTGGTGATGTGAGACTCGAATGCAAGCCTGATTATGCACCGCAAGGATAACATCAGTCAAGGCCTGCGGGACTCCCGCGTCGCTTAGGGCACTATGAAGCATTTGTCTACTGACACAATCATAGGCCTTCGAGATGTCGAGCGACAACATGATGCCGCCTTCAACCTGGTGGTGCTTGATGGTCTGAGTGCCGGCATACGGATTTCGACTGTGACTCGCCAGGAGGGCCTTCACCTCAGAGCAGTGGGAGGCCACCCTTTCCAAAGCCTGCTGAAGAGACCTGTGCGGGAGGTATGCGAATTGGCTAATGTCCGTGAGGTAGCTGGAGGCGTGAGGTCGCAACCTGTCTGCCAGGATTGCCGCCAGTAGTTTGGCCATCGGAGCCAGGAGGCAAATAGGCCTCAATTGGTCAACGCTGGTCAGGGCCTTCCCAGGTTTTGGCAAAAGAACCAATTCACTGATACACCACGCCCGCGGGAGGATCAGAGTGCCAGGTTGGCAGACATGATTGAATTGCTGTGTCACCAGAGGTACGAGCCTCAGCTGAAGGGCCTTCCAGACTGCAGCAGGAGCAGAGGAGCTGGGCATGGCTTTGCCTGGCGCAAGTCGGCGGATCGCCCTATGGATTTCCTCCGGCATGAAGTGTAGAGCCTCGCTGAGGTAGTCCGGAGATGGAGTGGGCCCTCCATAGTGGCTGCCTGGTACACATTGTCAGCTTCTACAGCAGCCGCAACCTGTGCAACTTTCCGCTGTCGACCTCGACGGCGGAGTTCACGCTGAGTTTTCTGCAACAGACTCACCTGTCTCCAGCCATGCCACATATTAACGAGAAACACCTCCGGCTGGGCCTGAGCAACATAGCGGGCCTGTTGCTTCAGTCGATCGCGGATGAGCCAAAGTTGCCTGACTAGGTGGGTGGTGGCCATC